GACAACTCCCGTAAGGTGTAGGTAAGTCGTGCCTCGCGTAGGCCCTATCCTGTCGTAGGGGCTCGCGAGAGGTATGGCTGGCGCACTCGGCCGGAGCGGCCTAAGGAAGCTCCGTATATATTGCGACGAAGGATTTAAAACCAACTCCTACGTGACGCGGCCGGGAGGGTCCAGTGCTGCCCTGGTGCGGTGTCGGACCGATGCGCCCGACAGGTGGCGCCGTTGCCGGGGATAACGGAAAGCCTACCGTTGTCCCTGGTAGAATGACATCCAGGTATGAGAAGTGAATGAGAAAAGGCATAGAGGAAGGACGAGAAAGTGAGGAAAGATAATGAACGATTGAGTATAGGTAAGGAAATTTACCTACCTGAGTAAGGGAAGGGATGAAGAGTGAAGGTGTAGTATTGGGAAAAGGTACGTAGTAAGAGTTAGGTAGGACGGATGAAATAGACTGGTCAAGGTATAATGTTGAAAAAGGGGTTGTGCTTGTTTTCTTTTGCCAGAGAACTTGAAAAGAAGAGGCTGTCAAAATGCGTGAGACTGGCGGCGCATCTGTTGCTCCCAAGAAGGGTCTGACACTCCGTGACCTCATTGCGGCCATCGACCGACATGAAAGGAATCTGAGCAACATCCAAAAGATCGATACTTTCCATTTATGTGGGGAGAGAGTCTCAGAATGTCTAGAGAGGGTGGAACAAGCTTTGGTTGGGCTGTCGGATGTTGTAAAGTTCCAACGCATCCTTCAGTATGTCCTCCACAGCTACCATCAGGAGGTGAAGAAAGTCATAGATGCGGCTCACGGTAGCTGGGAGAGGTTCAAGGAGGGGATGCAGAGGAAGTACCGCTTGGGAGACGGGCTATTGACTATAGCAGACCTTGAGGCGATGAACAAAGAGGATTTTACGACTATAGGGGTTTTTGTTCAAGAATTTCATAAGAGAGCGCGAAAGGTCCATGGGATTTCGGAGGAAGGACAATGCACCATCTTCCTGGGGCTACTCACGGCATCGAAGGCCGTCGAGTTGACGAGGCATGGAGGAGGTAGCACTAACCTCACCTGCGCCACCATTGACAGAGGGGTGGAAGTTGGGTGTTTGGACCACGTGGAGCAACGTCAGGTACGCCTGCAAAGGCAGAAGAGAAAGGAAAGAGATGCGACTGCTTCTGGTACCCCGGGGGTAACAAAGATTGTTACAGACGTGTTGGCACAGCTAGGGTATGCGACAGAGCCGGTGGTGCAAAGGAGGGTGATGATGGCTGTCAAAGTGAAAGGAAAGGAGCCGATGATAGAGAAGGTTGTTCAGGAAGAGCTCTGGGAAGAGGAAGAGCTGGTGCCTCAGCACCTGACGAAGGTCCAGCGCAAAGTGCGTGATTTGGCGCAGGGCAGACAGGGATCAAGAAAAGTGCAGGCGCCTCAGGCCCAGGCAGCAGCCATTTTAAATGTGGCGGCTCCATCATCTAGTACGGGCCCCTCGCAAGGTGGGGCGCTCTCCTACGGACAGTGGCCCTGGCCGGTGATCAATGTAATTGTGCCATGGGGAAGCCCGCCGCCAGTAGCCGGACCGCAAACGAGTATGCCACCACCCATCTACCCCGCGGCCCAGGCCCAGCCTGTGGCCCCGCCACCGTCTCCTGCTCCCATTTCATAGGGCAGTGTTGAAGGAGGTGGAAACTAGGGGCATAACAATCAAGGCAACGGAGGGAGGGGTGGAGGAAGGGGGCGAGGCAGGAATGGCGGCGGAAAAGGAAGGCAATGGAATGGTCAAGGTCAGGGGTACCAAGGTCAAGGGAATCAAGGCCAAGGGTACCAAGGCCGAGGGAGTCAAGGCCAGGGGTACCAAGGCCAAGGGAGTCAAGGCCAGGGGTACCAAGGACGAGGGAGTCAAGGCCAGGGGTATCAAGGCCAGGGGGATCAGGGAAGTTAGGGGTATGGAAGACCCCGTTTTGACTGGAGGACGACCATCTGTCAACATTGTGACCAGCAAGGCCACATTATAAGGTTCTGTAATATAAGAGGGGAAGACGAGAGAAGCGGACTGATTTCCTCCACTATGGATGAGAATATCTACGATCAGTTTGGGGAGGCAATTGACAGAAGGCTTGGAGGAGTGAGGGTTGAAGCCCAACGAAGAGCGGCAACTGGGCCGCCACCCCCTGCCATGTTCAGGCTATGGCAGGAAAAGGAGGAACCACCGATTGGGGTAGAGGAAGTGGGGAGCGATGAGGAAGTGGCTCAAGGGCAACGAGGAGGAAGTAAGACGGAAGAGCCCATAATCATCGAGTCAGATGACGAGGATGAGGAAGAAAGAATGAAACCTCCGTCCGTCTTATTTGGGAAGATGGAGGACCTGCTGGATAAGATGGGAAGGTACCAACAGAAGTTGGCGGGCCTCTGTGAGGAAGTGAAGGGATGGAGGTCTAACATCCCCAAAGTGTTCCTCTATGACTCCGGGCGACCCGGAGTAAATGTGGTGGGGTCGTGCCCACAATCGGGAATGATGGGGAGACCCCTCACTCCGCAGGCCCGGTTGGCAGAGACAACGCGATCGAGGAATCAAGCCAAGGCCAGTGCCAGCCAAGAGCCTCCAAGGAGGGAAACCGAACCAGGGAGAAGGAAAGAGGTTGTGGAAGTAGAGGACGACGATGATGAAGAGGAAGAGGACGAGAGGCTGTGCACAGAAGAGGATCAGAGAACGGAGCAGCGGGCGAGAAAAAAGGGAACCAGGGGAGAGGCCGAGTCAGTCATACGTGATGGACCACCCAATAAGAAGAAATACGTGGTTCGGTTGGAAGAGGGATTTGACGTAGAGAGAGWRATTGACAGGCTGCTGAAAGGGCATAATGACCTCATRACCCTGAAGGAAATCCTASCGTCAGCCCCRCGACTCCGCGATGAACTGAAGGGGAGATTGTCGMGGCGCCTGGTACCCAATGTCCATCTGGGTATGATTCWGCCCAAGGAGGCTGAGTGGRCAGAGTCGGGGACGAAAATSGAYTGGAAGTGTGTAGCCTGCGGCACGGTGGATTTGGTGGTGAAGGGCTCCAAGTGTGCGGCAATGGTGGACACCGGGGCCGAAATGAACATCATTCGGGAGGCGGACGCAATCAGATTTGGGCTGGATATATACCGTTCTAACTGCGGTATTCTGCACGGAGCCAGCTGCAAAGCCGTTTTTTGTGGGACAGCCTCGAATGTACTCATCGAGGTTGGAAAGGTGAAGGCCCGGGCTTGCTTCTTCATCATGCCAGACGTGGATCACGGAATCCTCCTGGGGAGGTCATTCCTAAGCAGGACGGAAACCGTGATGTTCAACAAACATGACGGGACTCTAATCCTTCTCTTATGCGATCCTGCCTGTGGGAATTACAAAATAATTACCTGCAGGAACACCGGGCCAAGGAGTATAAGGAACCGGTCCAATCCAGGATCGTTCACGATCGAGGAATTGGAAGGAGAATGCCGGAGGCTCCGGGCAGAGCCCGAAGCAGTAGAGAGGGTGGAAGCATTTTCCCTCAGCCTGTCAGATATTGGGAAGGTCATGGACTTGGTGGCCGCGCATGAGATGGCAGATCTAGATGCCATCCAGTCTTTGAGGGAGCAAGTTCTGGAATGCCCCTAGGCAGGAAGGTTGGAATTGGTATATCGGTTCCCAGGCAGCGGAGGGAACCCCGCATCAGCGCAAATGCAATCTGTGCGTCGGCCTTTCTTAGGGGACGGCTCAAGCAGGGTTCCTAAAGGCGGTACAAGACGGTAGACAAGAAGTGGCGCCTGGTTCCCGTCCTCCTTACAGAAGTCAAGGAAGCATATTACGAAAGGGAACGAGGGTTGATACGGCGAATGAGGGAAAGTGTTTTAGCAGGGCCATATCGTATCAACGAAGGGAACGAGGAGGAGTTAATCATAGGGGAGTCCAACTTCCTACTACCTCAAGAGCGAACATTGGTGGTGGAATCGATGAAGAGGAGGCATCGCGCCTGTGCGTTTAGCGATGAGGAGCGTGGCACGCTGGATGTGGACAAGATACCTATGATCCGCATCCACACCGTGCCACACAAGCCTTGGAACATGAGAGGGGCGCGATACCCCAATCCTGACGAGGAAAGGAAGGTGGTGGATTACCTCGACGGCAAAATACATACGGACGTCGCCGACTATTCTAGTGGACCGTATGCGTCCCCGTGRTTTTGCTTCATTAAGCCTAACGGMACGCTGCGATGGGTGCAAGATCTGMAGAGGTTAAATGCGGTGACCGTGCGAGATGCTGGAGGACTGCYAAATRCGGATGCTTTGTCGGAATCCTGTGCTGGAAGRCCTRYAATTTCGCTTATAGACCTTYACTCAGGATACGATCAGTTTCCAGTCTACCCGCCGGATAGGCSTGTGACGGCTATGCACACGCCGCGAGGATTAATCCACATGAACGTGGCCCCTCAAGGTTGGACCAACGCGGTAGCTATGGTCCAACGGGCCATGATTCGGGTTATGSAGTCAGTYWGCCCCCATATTACACAGCCATACATCGRCGATTTGGCGGTGAAGGGGACGACAGTAAAGGAGAGCGACRAAGTYTTGCCARGGGTAAGGCGCTTTGTTTGGGAGCACATCSAGGACCTCAAAAAWGTCCTGAGCCTGCTCGAGGAGCATAACCTCACGGCAAGCGGGGCCAAATCCAGACAMTGTATGAGGGAAGCGACTATTTTGGGGTTCATCTGCAGSGAGAAGGGYCGAAGGCCGGATGTGAAGAAGRCGGACAAGATTACTGAGTGGYCGGTTCCGTTCYACKCAATAACTGATGTMAGGAGCTTCCTTGGTASGTGTGGATTTTGGAGGGCCTTCGTCAAGAACTTTGCCGCTAAGACTGAACATCTGAGGAAGTTAGTCCGTTAGGATCAGGAATGGGTTTGTGGTAAAGAGCAAGAAGAGGTGGTAGCCAGAATGAAGGAGAAATTTCGAGGAGGAGGGTTGGTGTTAGGAGCGCCAGATTATGATGCTACARAAACACGACCCTYCATTGTCAAAACAKATGCGGGGCCAACTGCCTTAGGAGGAGTTCTAATCCAGGCASAYATGGAGGGAAAGGAAMGGCGCTTGMGATTTGAGAGTCRGACTCTCTCTACGACCGAGAGGAACTACTCTYAGTTSAAGAGGGAGACCCTTGCCGTCCTCCACTGTCTGCGAATCKTCCKGAACTACATYTTYGGCAGGAGGTTTATTTYGAGGGTGGATCCGACCGCCCTGGCCTACTCTCTAAGGAATTACGTTCCATCGGATCCGACGGTTGCCAGATGGYTAACGTACATCTGMTTGTTCAATTTCGAACTGGAACGGATTCCTGGCAGTAAAAACCGGGCGGAYGGGTTGAGTCGGATCAACTGGGATAAACAGGAAGGGGAGGCGGTGGAGAGTACGCCCCCAGTTGATGGATTTCTAGATCAGRAAGAAGWCGTTCGTCTCCACATAAATAAGTGGTYGCCGCGAGTGCCCAGCTSTGTAGGCTATCCTATCTRGCAAGCACCAAATGRATAYGAAYGGAGGGCTGAGCTAGTCCTCAAACCCTTTGAAGAAGAGGATCCATGGGGTGGTAAGGATGTTCAGTGGATGATGGAATTAGCGCTGGCCAGCTCGCATAGTTTGGTGGAGGATATGAGAACGATTAAAGGAAGAACCTGGCCAGGTAGAACGACATGAGGACCTGATGAAGTTAAATGTATCTCCTCGTCAACATGTTATTACAAAAAGGCCTTGACCAGTCAGGCTCGTTGAACCCGGCAGAAAATGTGGACGAAGTGCCCGAGAGCCAGGACGACGAGTTCGAGGAGGGAGAGATTAAGGAGGCTTTTCGTGCAGAGGAGTACGACGGGATCTACCTAGAGCTAGGACTTCTTCTGTCCTGCGAAATGCAGCTAAGGGATGCGAGCGATATGGCTCAGAGGATGCTGCAGCGCTACTTAGTGCGAGACGGCCACCTTTTCGTGAGTAGAGAAGTGAGGAATCCCAGGAGAGTCGCCTGCGGTAGGAATCGTCAGATCGACGTGGTAGCAGCGCTCCACGATGGCATTGCAGGAGGGCATCGAGGGGTACAAGCCACATATGCCAAGATAAGTGAGCTATACTACTGGGAGGGGATGATGGATATGGTCGGGAAGTTCTGCCGATCTTGCGTACCTTGCCAGGAAAGATCCCGTTTAAGGCAAGGAGAGCCGCTGCATCCAAGGGTAGAGCGAGAGGTGGGGGCCGTAGTGCATCTCGATCTACTTTTTATGTCGCTTGGGGATCAGGGCTATAACTACATCTTCGATGCGCGCGATAACCTGTCTGGGTTCGTAGACGAGCGTGCTATTCGCACGAAGACCGGGTCGGTCCTGGTGAGCTGCATCGAGGAGTATTACCTGCGCTATCCTTTCGTCAGGGAATTTGTAATAGACAGGGGATCAGAGTTTACCTGCCAGGAGGTGCAAGAATTGTTATTAAGGTATGGTGTGGCAGCCAACTACACCACGGCCACGCACCCCCAGGCGAATGGTCCCGTAGAGAGAGGACATAGTACCATTACGAGTCTCCTGGCTAAGTGGACCGAAGGTAGGCCTAATCAATGGCCAAGATACCTAAGGGCGGCGTTCTTTGTCGAGAACATTACAGTAAAAAGATCCACCAAGTACGCATCGGCAACATTGTGGTATGGAAGGCACGCCACCTTCCCTATCGAGAGCTTTCTTAAGATATGGAGGCGCCAGGATCTAGAAGTTAACCTGTCATTTGAAGAGTTGCTCGATATTCAGGCGCGGCAAATAGGGGCGATAGAAGAAAGGATCCAGGAAGCGTCTGACCAGGTGGCGAGAAGCCGTATGGATGATAAGGCTCGATGGGATAAATCTGCGCGGGTGAGGAAAGTACCCTTGGCAGTTGGGGATGTCGTGCTCCTCTACGATTCATCACTGGAGAAGCAATGGTCCAGGAAGCTCGATAAGCGGTGGTTAGGTTCCTACCGGATCGTACGGGTCGGAGACTTCGGAGCGTATCAGATTGAGGAGCTAAATGAGACTTAATGGAAGGATTGGGTATCTAGAACGCGACTGAATGAGTTTGTGGCGAGAGAAGAGGTAAGAGAGAGATGACCTGACTGCCTTTAGAATAGAAGTAATATGGTGTGTAGGTTAGGTAGGATGCATGCTGCATGAGTGTGGTCTGGTCTAAGTTTGCTTTGATTATCACCTGCTTGCTTACCCCAATTTTATCGAGATGTAGGGCCTCGCTCCACAACTCACCGAATGTGCAAAATGAGAATGAATAGTCCTGTAGAACATGGGTAGATACATGTCAAGTAGTTCAGAGGTTGGAATGGCATTTTGCCTTAGTTTTTTTGTTTTTTTTTTTCGGAAGAAGAATGTCTTTTGTTTCTCATGTGACTCCGCGGGGGGAGCAATCTATGGGCCTGGTGCAAAATGAGAATCAATTTTCCACTAGAACATGCAAAGTTACACTGCCATGATTTGTGTCTTTTGGGCATGTCGAGAGTAGTGGGAGGACGCTTTATTGCTTTGTCAGCCCTCTTCTTTTCAAGGCATTCTCACGCAACCCTGTCCACAATCCCCTTCTTTTCAAGGCATTCTCAGGAAGCCCTGTCCACAATGCATCTGACTGTACCTCTGGCCAGGCATGAGGTGGTACGACAAGGCTCAGAAGCTTGCTATTCATTTTTAAACTTTTTTTTTTTTTTCCTTTCCTTTTTTTTTTTTTTTTTTTTCTTAGGTTGTTTTAGAGGCCAAGGACCAGACCCGCGGTGATTCCTGGTAGCGGCAGCCAATGGATGTCCTGACAGGATAGGCCACCTACCAAACCCATCCCAACGTTAATACTCCCAGCGCACCCCCTGTCACTACTATCCTACCACACTGTGACCACCACTCAGGACCATCGCGCTACCAGTATCAAGGGCAACTTGGAGCAGACAGCTATGTAACACCCGCAGGTCCGATCTCAGATGGCGGATGCAGACGCGTCGCATCCGCGGCCGACCTGGTCCGCGCCGCGGACCCGATTTTACCAGAATTTTCCTGAATTAAATAATATGTAAAAAAATAAAAAACAAATATGGGGTTGTAGGGAATTTTATGCCCTACAACCCCATATTTGTTTTACATTAAAAAGATGCGTTTTAGGATTTTTAAAAAATACAAAACCGAAACGGTGCAAAAA